GGGGGCGCGGGCTGGGGTTCCTTGATTGTGTGGGGAGGCCTCGGGACGGTGGACGCCAGCGCCCCCCAGAGTGGGGCCTTGGCTGTATGCTGAGGCCGAGGAAGGATGCCGGGCGCACTTCCTTCCTGCTGTGTGTCCGGGGGCACTTTCTGGGTGCGAAGAAGCAGAGCAAGTGCCCACCCGCTGCCAGGGTAGCTGTAAGGGGGGAAAATGCAAGGGGGTCTCTGTCCGACCCCCTCAGGCACCCTCCAGAGAGAAGGAGCTGGAGGATGAGGATGTGCATTGCATGGTTGTGTGCAGGGCTGCTTACAGAGATGGGGTGTCTGAGAGGTAGGCAGAGGCAGTAGTTGGAGTTGGGGGCAGAGGGACTGATGGGGTGTGTGAGGATGGTCAGCAGCTCCCTTAGGGGGCGTTGCTGTGCCCCCAGACTGAGGTTGGGGCCTGCCTGGCCATGTATGGCTGGGGCTAGGGGGCAGGGTGGTGTCCAGAAGAAGAGGGTGAGGCTGTGTGGGGCCATGCCATTATTTCATGAATCAATGAGTGAGTGTGTGTGCTCTGGCTCCCGGCTGCCCTAGCCTTGAACTGTGGGTGCTGAGTGTGGGGCTAGACTTGGCACCTCTCTGGGTGGGCCTGGCCCTGTGGCTGTACCCATCCGGCGTAGGTGGCGGTGGTGTTGGGGTGAGTTTGCACTTTTAGTTTTAGGAGTCTTCTCCCTGAGCTGCCCCCACACCACTCGGTCTGACACTGGGTAGGCTCCTATGGGCCTCAGGGGTGGGAGGTGGTGAGTGGGGAGCCACACGGCTGCTTTGTTTAGATCTAGTTATGTTTCTCCTTGGCCCCATGAGCTCTCCCAAACCTCCATCCCTCTGTCCCTTCCCTCTCTGTTCTCTTCACATCTTTGGGGGGCAGGGGTGCATTGGCCCAGGCTAGTGGTTCTCAACTGGGGTTGACTTGATCCCTGCGGGGACCTTTGGCAATGTCTAGAGACATTTTTTGGTTGTCACAACTGGGATGATGCTACTGGCATCTAGTGGGTAGAAGCTAGGGATGCTGCTAAGCATCCTACAAGCACGGGGCAGCCCCTCACAACAAAGAATTATGCAGTCCGAAGCCACAGTAGTGCTGAGACTGAGAAACCCTGAGGCAGGCAGTGGACCTGAGGAGGAAGGGGTGCTCTGGGTCTCAGCTTATGCCCTAAGTCTGAGGCTCAGCCTGGAAGACTACAGAGGAGCAGACTAAGCAGATGCATATCCTTGAGCCCTGCCTCCCAGCCCCCTCTGAGGCATAACCCCTAATTAGGGAGGGCGGGAGGCAGGTGTTGGGTCAGCTGTTGAGTGAGAGGAGGACAGCTGGGCCTGTGTCTGGGTGAGGAAGTTATTGTCCCAGGAGGGGAGAATCCGGGCTCCATTGCCAGGAGAGGAGATGGGTGGGGTGAGGGTCGGTGGGGAGATAGTTCAGCTTTGCCAGCTGACTCTGGCTACTCCTAGCATTTCAGGAGCCTGGGGGTGGGCGATCAGAAACATACTTGCTTACCTGTGTACACACCCGCATGTATACAGGACACTTCCCTGCCTCAGCAGGCACAGGCGATCCGATCAGCAGGCCAGGATATAAGGCCTTGGCCTCTGCCCTGGCTTTAAATCCCAGCTCTGCCTTTTACTTGCTTTGTGTTTCATCTGTGAGTCTCAGTTTCCTCTTCTAAAGAATGGAGATAATAATGATATCTGCCTCAAAAGGTGAAGATTAATGAGATCATGTCTGTGCTAAGTACACGGAGACAGGGCTCGGTTCACAGGATGTTATTATTGTTATAAACAGAGGCCCACAGTCCACAAACCAACACACCCAGTCACATACAGACACCAGCATGGCTTGTGTCTGGTTGGAAGCCAAGAGAGCCCTCAAACGGGGCCCACTTGAGGGAAGGGAATGGCCCTGTGGCCAAGGTAAAGGGTCTTCTCATATAGGCATTTGGTCCTCTCTGGAGCCAACACCCCCTCCTGCCTAATACACAGTCTGGGTGACTCCCTTGGGCAAGACTACCCTGAGGTATGGCTGCAGAGGGAGTCTCCCAGCCCCACTGAGTGTGGCCTTCGCCACCCAGGCCTGGCTCAGCTGTCACCTGCTCAGCTGTTGCTGTCATCTGTCAGCACCCCTATCGCCCCTCCTCAGTTTGGGGCTCCTAGGGGCCGGGTCTACCATGGCGGGGGGGTCCCCTTAGGTCATCCCAATTTCCTGGTGTCTGGGGAAGGGGGTAGAAATCCCCAGGATGATACCCCTATACTCCCCAGCAAAACTGCCCCAGACACACCCAACTTCAGCAGAGCTAGACACCAACATAAACACAGACAGCAGGCACATGTGTGTTAGCACATTGCCCATGCATGCAAACAGCGGTTACCCAGGCTTCTGAGGACTCTTAATCTGGCGGGGGGCCCAGACTGGTACCACAGCCCAGAGGGGCTGTTTAGACAGCTGTGGAGGCCACAAAAGAGCTGTCTGTTACTTCCCGGGCCCTGCGGCGGGTGTGGAGACTATGTAGGTCTGGCGGGGGGGGGGGGTGGGGGGAATCCTGCTTGTTGGTGACACTAGCAGGATGGACGTGGACTGCCCCCATCATTAACCCTGTACAGCTTGGGCAAATGGTTATAGGGAAGCCAAGCTGAAAGGGCCGGTGTTGAGTCCAGTGGCAGGAGGAGAGGGAACCTTGGGGCTTAGACTCTAGCCTGGGAATGACAGATTCTGACCTCCACCTTGCTATCAGGTACCAGAAGCATGTGCACACCTATCGAATTCTGCCTGATGGAGAAGACTTCCTGGCTGTGCAGGTAAGGGCTTAGACCCTGACCCCTGACCTTGATTCCAGCCTTGGCCTGGGACTAGCTGGCTGACCCTTCTCCCACCCTTGTTGGCTGCAGACCTCGCAGGGTGTGCCTGTGCGCCGCTTCCAGACCCTGGGCGAGCTCATTGGCCTGTATGCCCAGCCCAACCAGGGCCTGGTGTGCGCCCTGCTGCTGCCTGTGGAGCGAGAGCGAGAGCCAGACCCGCAAGACGACCGCGATGCCTCAGGTGCCACCCGGTGTGCAGTGTGCAAACGCCTGCCCTGCCTCGTGTTCAAATACTACCTGCTTCTTTCCATCCCATTTTCTCAACCTGCCTTCTTTAAAGCCCCAGCCCTAACCATGATGCCAGGGACCTATACCCCCTTTCCACGGAAGTTTCTGATCACCATGGCATTCCCCCATACTTCACTGAGGGTGGGAGGCCCAGATGGATGCCCCACTGACCCCTGTCCACAGATGGGGAGGATGAGAAGCCCCCGCTGCCCCCACGC